GGGAAAATGTAGAGTAATCAATACGCATGGATTCACTTTCAGATTAAAGTCAGATTATATGATTCCTACTTATACATTCACTTAATATTCTTTGTGTTCTCAATTTATTTCCAATTTTAATTGTTCGTTTCATTTATATGACCTTTATTTTGTTATAATACTTAATTTTAGATGTAATAATAATAATTATTAAAAATAAATACATAAAAAGTCTGAAAGTTTTCATATTTTATATTACGCCCAAAGGGGCTTTTTTAACGTTTTTAACGTTTTGTGTGTTAAAAAACGTTTGTGTGTCTTCGCTTTTAAACCATATATTAATTAAATTCAACAGCAACATCAACAAATACATAAAAACAGCATATCTGGAGATAAAAATGCTCGCACACTGGAGATAAAAATGCTTTGTTTCCATACAGTGTTGCCACTACTCGCTTTGAAATCGTTCAGTTTGTTAACCAGAAATTCTCTAAAATTTTACAAAATATGAAATAGATAATAAAACAAATTTAAAATTCAAAATCCGGGCTTCCAGGTCACCATGTTCGTGTGGAGGATTACGTTTTCCAAAATTTGATGGCTCTAGGTACCGTCGTTTTTTCACAATGCGAGAAACATACATACCTTCATGCGGATTCTTCATTATTTAATTTCTTTAAATGCAATGCAGGGTGATAATATTTTGTGGCAATAAGTTAAAACGTGATTCGTGGTTTATAGTGAAACGCCAGAAAATGCCGTTTTGAGACTAATAGCCCTTCTGGACTACCTCTTTTTTGGGCCAATTATTTACATTTTTATTATTTTAAAATTTTCTGCGTATATTGAAATAACTCTGAACTTATTGCTTACATTTATCTTATTGCTTAACGATATCCCCCGCCCCCAACGAGAGGACTAGCCATTGTAGGCGTTGGCCACTTGGCCACTATTAAGGCTGAAAGTAATGATCACTCTTTATGGAGGCACCTCATAGGCGGGCTACTGTTGCCTCCTAAGAATAGTCAGACAATTTAGATCCATGGCCTTAAACGGGATTCGAATCCAGGGCCTTCGGTATGGCAGTCAGAGTCACCAACCCCTTTCCGTCTGGGCGAATAACTAAGTTATGTATTTGATGTTAGTATACTTATTTTACAATAGTATTATTTTCTTTAATTTCTCACGAAGTTTGTAATTTCATTCGCATGTTTAACATCTTCTAACTTCTGTCACATTCTGAGAATTTTAAAGCAAAACATTTATGTCTAAATAGTTGTTATTTAGTATTCTTAATGTTCACTGATAAAATTCTCCAGTTCTTACTTAGACGAAACAGTATAGCTCAAATAACATATAAATTTTCTTGTTTTTGTTCCTTAATAATCTCCGTTTTTCTGTAACTGTTAATATATACTGTATGTACAGTATTAATGCTAACGTTTCACAGTTACAGTTTTAGAGTTATTTACAGTATTAATGCTTACGTAAAACAGTGCTTTCTTTTACATTTTAACCTTTATAATTTTTTTCTTACAATATCCCTCTTTCTTATACAATTTTTAATTTTATTCATATTTCAACTCTCCATTTCAGTATCATTTATATTTTAATGACCATATTTGTATCTGAATCTCTTCATATATCCTCTTGGGTATTTCGTTTCTTTTTTTTTTCACCTTTAACACTGGTATTTTGGCTGAGGTTCGAATCCCAAGAACAGGCTGGCTGCATGGGCGTTTTCGTGGATTTCCCCATGTGTAACGTGTAGACGAGGCAGTTTTCCTTATAAAGTACTCCACGAAGGCATCCCTCTCTTTAGGCAGATAGCCTTTGAGTGCTTTTCCATAATCAAATAAGCAAAGCCAAAGCCGTTCTATTCCTTCGTTTAATAGTTATGCGTATGTATATGTTATGCGTAAACAGCCTTCCGATGGAAATTGCATGCGCTTCTATCAGTCGATATAGATACCTCTTATACTGAAGAATTTTCATCGAATAACTGAGTTCTAGTTTATTTATGTATGACTATTTTCAAAATAGTTTTTTAAGCAGATACAAATAAAGACTTTTTTTTCATAATACAGTTCATTTATTTAAAGTACGTTACCCGAATTTTTATTTTACAAATTTATCCTTTAATAAAACAAATCTGTAAAATAAGACAAAAAGCTGATAACCGTTGTGGACCTTCCAGTACATGTGATTTTAAAAGCAAATCATAAATGTTTTATCCATATTGTTATCACAGCGGGACTAATTTCATAGCCCTTTGACTCGATAATGCACTTTTATAAAGATGAAAAGGTTATAAAACGAGTCTTATTTCTTTAAGCGATGTGTTCGAATTAAAGAAATCGATCGAATCAAGTAAAAAACGATTAGTTTGCAGTAAATTTTCAAGTATTTGAACTCTCATGCTTCGGTATGCCGAACTTTCGAGATCTAATCTTAAATTCCTTACTATATCAGCTATTTATTATTAGTGTGTTAATTTTTAATCCAAAAATCCAAAAATAATAATCCAAAAAGGTAAGACTTTTTGAGGTTTAATTTGCGGCCACCTGTCTTGTATATAAATATCAGTTTTATGTGTATAGTTGTATAGCTTTCAATTCTGAATCCAAGAATGCTTAAATTTCCAAATAGCTCAATTAGAATGCGATATATAAGCAACGCTGTTGACGAGCGCTGGCGACAAAAACTGTCGCCAGTTTGGTGACATTTAGCAATTTTGTATCTATAGACTTTTCTCTGAATCAAGAAACAACAAGGATATTCCTTGTTTTAGGTTCGAAGGGCTAATTGCTAAACCACTTTCCGTTGCAACGTCGGAAGCTAGAGCTAAATCTGCGAACTATTGTATTTAGCTACAAGATGTTCACAAGATTACAAGATTCTGACTCATCTTCCAAAACGTTAAGTTTCAAGTGTTGCACGAAGTTATGTTCTTAGCCTAGTGAATTAAATGTCAGTATATATGTTCCTTACTTCATTAGTAATTTATTAAGATATTCTTTTTCCGAATTAATTATATAAGCAAATCTTCCCTATCACTCATATATGACATCTCAAAATCAGTCTCACTTTTTAATGTAGTGGAAAAGTTCCTGCTAATTGGGTAGAGTATACTAGAGTTAAAAGCATTACGGCTTACTCTCGGAAATGGCCAGATACTATAAATAAATTATATGTGCTCCAAACAGTTTGAATGGTTTGGTTTCTTTAATAGTGGCATAGCATTTGAGGGCTATCTACCTGATGGTAGGGATGTCTTCGTGGAGGACGTTATAAGGGAAACTGACTCATATATACGTAGGAAAGCCACAGAAACGGGCATGCAGCCAGCCGTTCGCTGGGATTTGAACCTCGGACCAAACTTCCAGTGTTCAGCGACTTTACCGCTAGGCCGCTGTTGAGCCCCTAAGCGTTTTGAATTCGACACAAGAAACAAATATCCGTTTATGAACATTAGCTTCTGTAGACGAATCTTCTGTAGATTCAGAGTAAAAGAAAAGTTTTAACAAAATTTTGTGAATTTTTGGACTCTGTACTCTGATGTCTGCCCGATTCTTAAAAAATAGGCCTTCACCCTTTTCCAGAAATCCCTTATTGTTTGGAATCATAGAACTTTATCTAATTTCATTCAAACTAAAAGGAGAGCAGAGGCTTCCCAAAGGGATGGGAAATGAAGGGATTAGTGACTAGATTGCTAGATGCTTTCTCCATATGTTTCCCTTGTTTTCAAATCCGAATACTCGATGAAACGCAGTCCGTGAGAACGTATATTTCCATTCCAGAAAATCTCATTCTGTTTCCTTATGCATTTATTTATAACTTTCCTTTGAAAAATAGGCTGTAGTTTTAAACTATCCTCTAAACTTAAATGGTTACAAGAATTAATTATATTACATCTTTATAGTGAATTTGTTACACGTGACTGCGTATTGTCTGCTTGAAATTGAGAACTCAGTCGGAAGTCTAGTATTATACCAGGCATGTAATATCACTTTGTGTATTACCTTCTTTCTCATTTATCTCGAAACAATACAGAAAATAAAGGTACTTACGTATTAGCGCAATCACTTGGCACCGTTTGACGATTTTTTACAGAACTGAAGGTCATTGATGAATGCAGTTACAGTGGACATGGTGGCCTGAATAATTGTAAAGCCCGTGGTTGCCAGGATTTGGCTTCTTCTGAAAACTTGGCGACTTCTACTAAGGTGGTTGGATAATACGTAAGTACCAAAATAAACTATAATTGACACAGACTCACATACCTAAAGTTTTCAAAATTAACACGTCTTTCTTTTTAAAATAATTAACCTTTTTTATGTACCATATGATACTTGAAATGTCAATCTTTAGACCTCATCCCACGTTACACATATTTAATAATAAATACATATTATTTAATAGCATGTGTTGCTTTACAAATGAAAATGTTCTGTATGAATTACAGTGGCTTGAAAATCAGCCGTAAGCACACACGCATATATATACAGACAAATAAATTTCAACTATGCCAAATAGGTACTTTGGTTATGGGTAAAATTAACTTTTGTTAATTTATCTATTTACATTCAATTATCATTCATTAATAGCTATTACTTTTTAATCAAAACCCAAAAATTTTTATTTAAGCGTTAGCCAAATATAAAAGCAAAAATTAATTATTGCTCGGTATTCAAACGCAAATTTTGTCGATTAACTGAAGAGCTCCTATACCTATAGTAGAAAAAGGCCAGAAAACAGTTATTTAACACCAATTTATATTTGTGAATTACCTTTTGGTTCAATTTCTTTGAAATGAATTTAGAAAATCTGGAATTTACATCACAAAAAGCAATGTGCCTCATGGAAATGCTCAACCTATCAAGAATGATATTTACTTGGAAACCAGAATGAAAAGAAATAAGCAAAATAATCAACTTTCCTTTTACTGTGCGGAAAGAAGAAATCTCTCCACAGTTCTCCGTTTTCCAGAATCGATAAAATTCATGAAGTGGGTAACTTACCGCCAATAATGAGTCTGGCCGACGCTTGTGATGAATAAAGCTCCCTGTGAATGAAGCACTGGTACATTCCGGCGTCTTGCCTTCTGATTTGTCTCACTTGAAGAAGATAAGGGTTTGGAAATAAGATTCGTGGACTTGGCAGCAGAGTCAGCATGTCTTTCCTCCATACCACGGTACCGGGGGGGCTGCCAAAAACAGAGCAATTCAGAGTGGCCGTCTTCCCTACTTCTAAACGGAGTTCTGGAGGAGTGATTGCGACTCGGTGAGGTTCTAAAAAAATTAAGGAAATACAAATTAATCATTTTTTCACTCATTGCGATATCATGGCAAACTTTATTTACTATAAAATAAAGTTAATTTGATACTACATATCAATTTAGTATAAAATGTACAAAATCGCAAAATTAAGAGAATTATGATAAAGGAAATGACATGAGATAAAAATTTAGCAAGGTAATACCCATTAACAAATAAAAAAAGCACTAATGGAGGTGATAAAAGAATGCATTAGCTAGTGATAAATTGAGTACTAAGGCCTTACACATTACTAACGGGGGCCCACCAGCGGCCGAGCGGTAAAGTCGCTGAACACTGGTAGTTCGGTCCGAGGTTCGAATCCCGCGAACGGGCTGGCTGCATGGTTTCGTGGTTTTCCCCATGTGTAACGTGTATACGAGCCAGTTTCTCTTAGAAAGTCCTCCACGAAGGCATCCCACCCCTTAGGCAGATAGCCATAGTGAGCTTTGCCATAATTAAATACACCAACACCATTACTAACGTGTCAGTTCAGAGAAAACACTCACATATTTTACAGAAATCTATCACTACGGTATTGCTTATACTTGAAGTTAAATTTTTTCTTGGATATCAGTGGTTTTAGACAGGAAAGGAAGAAAGCTATTGCTAAATATCTAGCTATTTCTACGTTATTTATTTAATTTTATAATATATTTCTGTTAAATTATTTATGTTGTTTGTATCTTGCTGAGTTGTAAAAATATTAGTTAATGTTCTGTATAAAAAATAACAAGCAATATCATATTTTTTTAGCAATTCACATTTTTAGAAAGAAAATTTTGACGATGACTACATATAACGTCAAATCTGACAGTAAATAATTTGACAACTTTAATAACAAAATTACAATAAATACTTATAACATCAAATTATGAAATAAAATTCTAAATTTTCTCTTAAATGTGCCCTTTGTTTTGAGATTAAGTTCCTAAATATGTTCTGCTTAATTTATTTTATACATTTAATATAAAAAATTTAAATTCCAGTTCACAAACTATTAAACATTTAAAAAATTAGGTAGCCCCTGTCGTGTTAAATCACGACAGCATCTATTTATTTCTTATGTTCCTGCCTTATTTTAATCAGCACCAGTGTCTCTGTCTTATAAATCTCTGACAATTTCTTTTTCACACACCTATCTCAATCATTTTTAATTATATCTTGAAGCAGAGTCAAGTTCTTTTGCGTTTCTATATTATGGTTGTGTATGTAAACGAAAATAATACAGTGAAGTATTAGTCTCATTATTTCATTTTTCGTCGACCGTATGAAACGATTTGATTTAAAGGAATGGTTCAAATGGGGAAAACTGTCGTCAAACAATTGCTGACTGGCAATAGCTGACAAATAGCAAAAGGGTTGCATTAAAGTACGGGATATTGAATAATGAACGCGTTCAGTCACTCTGAATCCCAAATCAAAAGCAGGATTTTGAAAACAAAATATTGCTGCAGGCTGCCTCCAGGTGATCCGCACTGGCTTGCACAGCATTCTCTAATGATGCTATCACTCCAAATAAAGCGTGATGAATGGTATCCAGAATATCATAAAAATTTAATGAACTGTAGGGGTTAATGCTCCATTCATAAGAAAAATAGTTCTTTTCCTGTATACTTCTAATTTTAATTCAAAAAAGAAATGTTTGTAAATCAAATTTGCTTTCGTAAAATTTATGAAAATTATTTAACAATAAGTTGTAAAAAATTATCGAATTTTATTTCAATTGAACCTACTTTCGAATTCTAAAAGAAGGAATCAGGTAAGCTAAATAATAAAAAAAAAGAGAGAGAGAGATTAATAAATATACAGTAAATTTCCTCAGATAAGACGACTTTCAGATAAGACTAGGTATAAATTTTGGTCAAAGATTTTAATCTACATTTGTCGTGTAAGACAACCCCCAGACTATCCACAGCCTATGAATTTAGTTTAAGTCAACGAACATCATCTCGAACATATTTTATTTTCTTGCATTAGGCAGCATTACCTACAAAAGCACATACCGAATCACGAACTCATACGTACCTCTAACAAGTTTCGTCGTAGGTTGTGTCGTGTGTTCAGACAATTTGTACTCTAATCAGCATAGAATTAGTAAAGTACCGAATTAGTAAAGTAAAAGTCATAAAACAGGCTGAGGAATCGAACAACTGTGCTGCAGCAAGGGCTTCCGATATAACAGAATAAGATGATAGCAGACGATAAGAGATTGAGAAAGAATGAAAATACTATCAAAACATACTAACGGAAAAAAATGTCCATGACGTTTGGAATAGCTTACATTCATCTGCATAAATCGCCTCTACAGGTTTAAATGTCACTCCCTGTTAAGGGCTTTTCATTGCCCAGGTCATGAAATCTTTATCTTCTAGGGTATGTATAGAGAGAACAAAGGACTCTTTATAACAAAACATATAGTAAAGTGGATTCAAAATGTATTTTTCTCATGACGTCTGTGCGTACGTATGCCTCTAGCCTACCTCAAAAATGATTAACTATATAATCTTGAAAATTTGTGTTATGGGACTGCTATAATACCTAGTTGTGCCTTTCGCTTTGTTATTGCGGTCGGTAGTGTGGAAGGAAACTTTGCTATAAGAGATTTTTGAATTTTTCGCATAAGGCAAAAACCGTTAGACGGATAATTTTGAAATTTTATATATGGGACTGTTATACCATCCGGGTTTTTTTTTAAATTTCATCTCAATGCATTTCATGGAAGAATGGTTGTCACGCTTTGAGGCTGAACTTCTACCTTGTAGAGACATTAGGTATTTTTTTGGAAGCAGGCAAGATGAAAAATGAGCAACGACTTGGCGGAGAATCGAACCACGGACATCTGGAATACGCGACCAGCGTGCAGACCGCCACACCACGAAGGCATGCCAAGAAGGCGAGAGAAATACTTTATAACATTACAGCCCAATTTTGAGGGAGAGCTCCCTGGGAGAATTGTTCGAGGGTCTTCCACCCCTCTTCCTTACCACCAAACCACTCGAGAGAACTTCCGGGTCGTTATATATTTTTAGTGCCCCATGCCGCAAAGACACTTTACATTTACAAATATTCACGCCTTCCCCTGGATTCAAACCGTAGCCTATCGGTACTTCAGTAGGCTCCCCTAACGACTATAGCGTCTGGGCGCTGCTATAACATCTCGTATGAACCCTTTTGATTTTTTCTTCCTTGTACAAACTAGATAAAATATTTAATCGCGAAAAATTTTCAGATTTTTAACGGAAATATCTATTTTGACTAGTTCCATCGCGATGTACGTATGTCAAAGAGCTTAAAAATGGTTCACCGTAATATGGTGAAATTTCAAATATGGGAATCTATCCATATATTTCTAATAGATAGAATAGTATATTTCCTAATATAATATTATTTGTACACCTCCTTTTTGGGTTGTAATCGAAAGCGCCAAAAGGGCATATTACTTGAATGCAATAAAAGCATTTTGCCAAGGTAAATTAAAAATTTAATAAACTTGCAATGTTTTGTTTTAATTTGTTCATGGTTACATCATAATAATTTTGAAGACTTAGATACGTAAATGATAGATATCAAATACGTAAAAGACTTATATTTATTAAAGGGAAATAAAGTCACATTTAACTCTCCTAATATTTCAGGTAAGATTCTTTAATTAATACTTATATAATTATTTGATGTTAATAAAAACTAATATTTTAGCAAATGTGTAACTGTCCACTTTGTTAAAAAATTGGAAGACTGTATCTCACTTTCTAATGAAATAAGTTTAAATGAAGTGCAGCAAAAAAAAAAAAAAAAAAAAAAAAAAAAAAAAAAAAAAAAAAGCAATTTAACAGGCGGTACAAAGAAGTCATGCGATGTCCACATCACATTTTTATCTTCAGAAATGTGTAACGTATTTTATGTTAACTTACCAGTTTTTATCATTTTGATCTTTACTACAACTTCTTCCATCCATACTCACCAGGATGCATATTAGCTTTGAATGTATTTAAATTGAATGTTCTGAATATTAGGAGACAGCTTCTGACACTAGCATTTGCTGTTAGATTTTTGCCAACTTGCTTCCAACCACGAGTTATCTCCTAGGCCGAAGTTTTTGTTTAGATGCTAGCTACGAGTTAATTCATAGAACGTTTTTGTTTTACCTACACCACATACTCGGCTGAGCGGTAAAGTCGCTAAACACTGGTAGTTCGGTCCGAGGTTCGAATCCCGCGAACGGGCTGGCTGCATGGGCGTTTTCGTAGTTTTCCCCATATGTAACGTGTATACGAGCCAGTTTCCCTTGGAAAGCTCTTCACGAAGGCATCCCTCCCCTTAGGCAGATAGCCCTCGAGGCTTTGCCATAATCACACACACCTACACATACGACCAAACTCGTAGTATTTGCATATTCCGTTGAAGGTCTCTTTCTTTGGGGATTAGAACAAGTTGGTGCAATTCAAGAGATTTATTATAATTAATATAAGCATAATATAAAATAATTATAAATTAAATAGCTCAGGAACTGTAAAAATAATCAAGGAATTTATGATAATATTTGTTATAATACGCCAACTATTGGCGCTGTCATAAAACATTTTATAGCAAAATCCGACTACGATATAATTCGCATAATTAGTAAAGCAATTAAAAATGTTCTATATTCAAAATCTTTCCCATAAATATATGTTTTGAATTTTTATTTTATAATTATTTAATTAAAATTTATTGAAACCGTTTTTGAAAATGTCGCTCGGCAGCGAACGTGTTAAAAGTGTTATTATTCTATTCTCGCTAGCTAATGCTTAAAACTGACGCGGCGGTAAAATAAGTGAGCTAGCTTATTTCTTTTTCTGTTGAATGTCTTATAAAACGTTACCCAAGTTAGAATTTAATCGCTTGTTATTGTTTTAAATAGCCACAAGTGGTATACCGTCTGTAGCGTAAGTTGTAAATTTATGTTAAATTTTTGACTAAAATAAGAAAGTTAC